GAATGTCCCCGAGTTATACAGTAAGCTGACAAATCACCAACGGGGCTCTCCTCCCAGGGAGTAGAAGTTCCAGTCCGGGATCCTGATCCCGTGCCACACAGCGCCCTCTGTGCAGGACCCACCTGCAGGGGCTTGGAAAAGGTGGCTCCACATCTTTAATTCACTGAGCAAAGACGCACCAGGTCCTGGGTGAGGGGCATTTTTGGCCTACCTAGTGCCTGAGCCCAGTGGAGCTCCCTGGGCTGTCTCCACCTTTGCAAGGCTCCCCTGGAGGCAGCTGCAAAAGCTTCCCTTGCACCCCCTTGGCTCGCCAGCCAGCACCCATCTCCGTTCCCTTGCAGCAAAACTCTCCCACAGTGCTGGCCACACGGGCTGGCTCCAATCCTTCCTACCCCGCTGGCAGATCTCAGCCCTGACCGCCCCTGCTGGTCAGGGGACTCCTAGACCTGGAGGTCCCTCCAAGGAGCCCCAGGGACCACTGTGGGGCAAGACTCCCCTTCGAAGGCCAGCCATGCCTCTTCCGTCTGTCAGGGCTTCCAAGTAAGACTCTGTTCAAGATCCCGTGGCTGAGCGCTTTGAAACCACGAGACCTGCAACAGCTGAAGCCCTGACTTGGGGAGGGACCCCTCCCAAATCTTTGCCCAGATCTCCCATGTACAGCAGCATCAGGCCTCAGGCTCCAGACTACCTCCCTGTCCCGCAGAAGTCACCCACCCGGAGCCCCACCTCTCTCCTTCCCTTTCCCAGAGCCCAGCCCAGGAGCCTCCAGCCAGCCAGTCAGGAGGACCTTACGGAGCACACAAGGAAGGATGCCGATCATGATGAGGGGCCCGTCAAGTGCATCCTCCTCCCCTACTAACTTCTAATACACGGTTAGTGATGAGTGACACTGGGGGGGGCTAGGGCCCTTTTTGGCAAGAAATAACAAGCGCTCGCTCTGTGCTGGGCATTGCTTTATGAGTTTGCACCCAGCCACACACTTAGTCTTCACAGGGGCTCAATGAGGAAGACTTTGGATTGGGACCCAGGCAGCTGCCTCCCCTCTGGGTGTCTGACACCCATGCTGTAAGAGGCTGGGACGCATCTGTGGCTCCTTGGCCCTGCGGAGTTAGGGACGCATCCAGGACAGGTATGCCAGAGTTTGTACAAGTCCTGGCCCTGCCACTCCCTGGCTGGGTCACTCAGTTAAGTGACTTACCCTCCCCAAGCCTCAGCTTCCTCATCTCTAGGATGGGCCTGCTGTTGAGGACAAAATTATGATACACACAAAGAGGGGTGGGGCCACCTCAAAGAGGGAAGAGCGGTGGTGGTGGGTCGGGCCATGCCTACCTCCCTCTGGGCACTCCCCGTTCTCCCCTTCACACCCCTGTCTCTTCACCCACCTATATCCCCACTGTCACAATTCAGCCTCCCTGTCCCCACCCCAGCCAGACGGGTCCTCCCCTCAGAGGACATCTGCCCAGGGCTGTCCTAAAGGGAGGGCCAAGACACTGCATTACTTGTGCTCCTGCTGGCTTCACACTGCCTGGTATACAAAGGGTGCCCAATAAATGTGTGCTGGGGATGGCATAGAACTTACATTTACTCAACACCTCCTGTTTGCCAGGCAGCACTGGGCACACTCTGGGGCCCTAAGGGTATAGACACAAGTCCCTGACCCCCTCGGAAAGCCCCTATGGGGTGGGGATGGGGTCACAGAAAATATCAGAACAGCATCATCTACCACAACCCAAAGGGGCGGGGAGTCAGAGGGGTCAGGGAAAGTTCCCAGGGGAGATGGTGCTTCCAATCCAAAATCCCATTACAGATGAGGAAACAGAGCTCAGGTAAGAAAAGTGACTCGCCCAAGTTAATGACAGCATGTCAGTGACTAAGTCAGGCCTAAAAAGCAGCTGTCCTAGCCCCTGGCCACCTAGCCCCTAGTGCTCCTTCCAGAACAAGGCTTCTCAACCTTCCTACTGACATTTGGGCCTGATCCTTCCTTCTTGTGGGGGCTGTCCCGTTCACTGCTGGATGTTTGCCCTCTACCTGCAAGACACCAGTAACCCCCTCTCCCCAGCTGTGGCTGTCAAAAATGTCCCCAGACATTACTAAATGTCCACGGAAGAGCAAAACTGCCCTCCGTTGAGACCTACTCGTCTAGAATTTAGGAAATCCGACCTGAGCTAAGAGGCAGTGACCAAAGTCAAGCCTCGGGCCCAGATGTGGACAAAAAGGTCTGGTGTCAGGGCTTGCAAACAAGCACCAAGAATTACCCGCCCAGGGTCACTTTTTACTGCTGGGCCCCACCCTGTGAATCCCTTAGACTTGAGTTCTGCTTTTCACTTTTCCACGGTGCTTTAGTTCACCACACCCCTGTGAAATGGATAGGGGAAAATATGCTTTTATCCTCATTCTACAGATAAGGAAATTAAGGCTCAAGAATGTTAAATGCACCAAAGTCCCCTGGTAAGCTAGTGGCCAAACCCGGCTGGAATTCCCCGACAGAGTCACCCAATGGCAGAGACGGACAGGAGACCCAGGGCAGACAGAGGGCTTTTTATCATCTGCATCTACTTCTAGAAGGCTGCATCCCTAGAACCCAGATCCATTAGTTCCTGACAATCCCAGGGGCATCACAACTCTGGCAACTCACAGATGGGAACTACGGAGGCTCACAGAAGACAAGAGACACACAACTGCATGCACGCATGCTTGAGGGGAGCCAGGCACCAGCCCTCCTCCCTCAGTGCCCGCTCCCATCCAGGCTGGGGCTGCAAGGCATGGGCTCCTCACAACCCATCGGACAGTCCCGTAGACACTGCCTGGCCAATGGGCCTTCCAGGCTCTTAAAGGACACCACTCCCCATCATCATGCAACATCTGGAACTTAAAACTCCCTCCTTCTGATGTAGGAGGGGAGGCCTGTTTGAGTGAGAGAATGTTTTCAACCATGAATCAGTCCTGTTACTACGAGCAATCACTCCATTGCTAATTACCGGTGATGCCAACGGTTCACAAAGTTTGCACATTTATTATATGCCAAGAATGGTGCTAGAGCCTTAAAGCCCCAGTGACTAGTTACACGTCTGCCACAGCCCACTTTACAGGGAATGAAACTGAGGCTGAGAAAGGTTAAGGGAGCTTTACAGCCAGCACATATGGGTGACAGCAACCCCAGCTAAGACCTGGCCGACATTGAGGCTCTACATTCCTCCCACTGCATCAACACATCAGAACTCCAAAGGGGGCACAAGTGGGCAACCATACCAGGAAAGAGAAACTCATTAGGGCCTGACGTGGGTTTTATAGCAGGTTGAAGAAAGCATCTGTAGTCTTGTGCATACTAACCACTTTGTAAAGAAATCCCTTTTCCTTAGAAATTACAAAGACAAATTTCACAGGCCCAGACCTGTGAGGGGGTCGGGCTCAGTTCAGAAGGTTTTGCAGCACCAAGTGGAATGAGACCACTGGTGCTCCTGGCCCCTTGGTGGCCCAGGAGGGTCCAGGAAACGGGGAAGATCAATGTAGGGGCCGTGGCTTGCCTGAGCACCAACCACCCCCCAAACCCACCATAGACTCCAGACGGCAAAGGACAGGTATGTGGGACAGACAAGTGCCCTACAGGAGCCATAGGTCCTCAGGGGCACAGCGGTGAGGATGCTTTCCCCTACCTCATCCCAAGCAAATGCATTTCCCACTAAATCCCCAGTCATAGATTCCCAGCTGGGGTCAGCAACCAGACAAGTGCAGGCTCAGCTTGGGCAATTTTCCTCTCCAAGTAAAATTTAAAGCTTAAGGCGGTACCTCTCAGAACCACCTAGATCACGTCTCTTCTCTCTGGGCCCCATGAACTCACCTAGAAAAGGTGTGATGGAGCCTGATGGCTTCTTAGGGGCACACAGCCATGAAAGAGTGGGGCGGGGCCAGCTAAAGAGTCAGCTCTAGGTTCTGAAGGCAAAATGGAGGAAGGGCCTTGCTTCCAGGCCCTGTGCCCCTTCCTGTCGTCAGTAGCCCTTGGCAGGGGTTTGGGGGCACATCCTCAGGCTGGAGGGGCTGCCAGGCAGTTCAGAGGCAAGGACAAGTCCTTCCCTCCTAGCCTGCCTGGACTCTGGGTTTCAGTCCCAGGAGTTGGAGCCTGGCAAGGTCAGCAGAGTGCTGAGGCAGGCAGGATGCCCATCCTCCCCTGAGAGGACAGCAGGGGAGCAGGGGTAACATGAACAGGACAGGCTGGCCCCTTCCCCACAGTACAGAGGTATGGGGCTGCAAATGCCTCTTTGGAACTGGGGGGAGGGGAAGTTACAGCCCTGGTAGGTCAAGATCCCCTTAGAATGGGTGTGCCCTCGAGGGGCTCCTCCTCCTAACCTGCCCGGAAGTCTCAGGGATGTATAGAAGGTTGGGAAGCAGCTCCGAGGGCGCCTCTCAGGGGTCCCAGGGAGGCTGTCCACTGTCTGATTTAAGAGTAGGTCAGTCTCCTCAGTTAATATTTTACTGGGACAGCAATGTGGTGCCCGAGGATTTGGTTACTGATCCCGTGGGCCTGAGCCTTGTCTAGGGATGTTGGTCGAGGCAAAAGGGGCTGCCCTATGATGTGGCTGAGGTCTCTTATCACTTGCCACCATCAGGTACCCCAGGCTGAGGATCCTTCCAGTCATCTTCACCCTGAGCCACCTCCCGCCAACGAGAGGCCCGAGCCGGCTGTGCTCACCCGGGGCGGCTCGGACCGGCAGGCCTAGGATGGCTCAGTGTGTCACCAGGCATCTCGCTCACGCCCACCCCAAGCGCCGCAGCTCCATCCCCTCCGGGGCTCCTCGGAGCCCCAGGCCTCTCCGTCCTCTCAGTCCCAGGCCAGCCCTCAGGAGTCCGGAGGGGGCGGCGGCTTCAGGCGGCCAGTGCCGCTGAGCGCTGTGCGCCCGAGGGCCGCACTCGCTGGGCCCGCGGACCCGCGCCCCGGAGCGCGACCGCTGCTCCCTCCCCACACACTGCTGGCCCCGGCGGAGCGGCGGATGGCCACGCGTTACCTTCCATGGACATGGGCTCCAGGATGCCGAACTGCTTGAGGACGGCGATGAACAGCAGCACCACCACGGCCATGGCGCACAGCTCCATGCCCTGGATGCCCATGGCGACCCGAGCTGCCCGGGGCCGGGGCGTGCCCCTCGCCCGCGCGTGCCTCGGGAGGCGCCGGGGCCCGTGCAGCCCGCCCGGCCTCTTGGGGAGGCCGCGGCTCACATCCCCCGGCAGGCGGGGCTGCGGGTGTCGACGGGGCCCGGGCCCCGCGGAGGGCTGCGGCGGCGAACTGGGCAGGCCCTGAGGTTAGACGCGGCGCGGCGGCAGAGCCCGAGCGCAACTTTCCGAGTCAGCCGGCAAACTTCGAGGCGCGGCGGCGGCGGCGGCGGCGCGGAGCGCAGCTCAGGCGGCCGGCGCGGGCCAGAGACGCCTCCATGGCGGGCGCGGGCGCCTCGCCTCTTTCGCCCCCTCTCCAGCCCCGCGGGCGCGGGGGCGCGGGGGCACGGGGGCGCGGCGGCGGCGGGGGTCCCGGGCGCTCCCGGCCGCCCCAGCCTCCATCGCGGCTCGCCGCGCGCTCATTGGCCTGGGCGCGGCGACCACCCGGGGAGGCGTCCCCTGCGGCCTGCCCCCACCCCCACCCCGGCGCGAGCCCGGGAAGGGGCGGAGGGAGGTGGCCCCGCCCCACGCGGCCCAGCCCCCGGACGGAGCCTGGCGCACAGCCACCGCCCCCCTGCCGGTCGCAGGGAGGCCGCGCGGTCGGCGGTTTCACCGAACTGCCGGTGCAAGGTGGGGGCTGAGTGGCTGGGCAAGGGGCCGGGGACCGGAGAGGAAGGGAGCCGCAGCATCGCTCTCTGTGAGGAGTCGGGGCTCCAGACTCCTGGCTGAGGGTTGCGGAGCCTGCCACTGCCGCTCACCGCCCCGCGGGCCAGCGCAGAGCCGGCCTTCGGGGGGATCGGGGAAGCCCTCTCGCCCCGGGGTATTTCCCACACCATCAGGTCTCCGCTCGCGACTGAACTTGGCCCTGGTCTGGCCCCCGCTGAAAATGAAAAAGTTGGTATCCAAAGTTATCCAGTTCCGGAAGCCCACGTGCGCTCCAGGCTTTTGGGGGGAGTGTGGGATTTAGCATTAGAGACTCTTGATTTTGCTGCGTGACCTTGGTCGAGTCACGGACATGCAGACTCCTCCTCCATACAGAGGGGCTGGTGCCCGCCTGCCTTTCTGGCTGTGGGAAAGAGCTGAACGGATGCCAAGTGCAACGCGAGGGCAGTGCACAGGAGCGCTAATTCGTTTGTGGATCGCTCTCTTCCTGCCTGGGGGCACTGGGTAGGAAAGGAAGGAGAAAGGAAGGGGAGGGGAGGGGAGGGGGCGTAGCAGGGCGGAGCCCAGGATCCTTCAAGTCCCCGAACTCCCGGACTTGAGGGCGGGAGCCGTGGCTCTCTGCTGCCCTCCCGCGGGCGTTGCGCTCTGCGGGTGAACTCGCCAGCCCCGGGCTTAGAGGGCCGGAAGCGCGCGGGCTGCTTCGAATGCCAAGTTCTTTAGTTCTCCTGCCGCCGTAGTGGAGGGGGAGATCCAGCCCCGCTCCACGCCTGTTTGGACCTAGCTTCCATGTATGAGCCTCTGCTACCCACTCGGTTATTCGCTCAACAAATACTGAACGTATACTGCGCCCCAGGCACAGAGCTCGGGGGTGCCCGGGTGGGGCGGGAAACAGCAGCTGGTGTGGACCAGGGCCCTTCTGGAGCTGGCATACAGGAGCCAAGCCTTTAGGTTTACTCTTAATCCCTAAGGGCTGCCCCAGTGGGCATTTCTCGTCCCCATTTTACAGTTAAGGAAACCCACCCGAGGGTGGACTGGGGCAAGGGCACAGATGCAGCCCAGGCCTCCTGGCTTCCAGAGCAGATGCTGGCCCAGCATACCGCACAGTTTCCAGTGGAAATGGATGGGAGGGAGGCTGCTGGGTTTCTTCCGGCCTGTGCAGTTCAGCCTCAGTATTTAACACACCTGGTTAAAAGTCTGAGTTATTGGAGATATTTTTAAAGAACTGTAAATGCACAGCTTTCAATTGCATTTAGTGGGCATGCGGTGAGTTTCCACTGACCAAGAGTTCTAAGCAGAGACGCTAATGATCGCCAGAGAACACAGCTCTGTTAGAGCACATGAGTTGCTAAAGTGTTAAGTCTAGAAAGGCTCAAGACGCTCCCGTACTCTAATTTACACACTATGTGCTGAGTAAAATCTAGCCTGTGTCCCAGCTAGTTGCCACCAATCCTCAATCAGTGGTCTCGTTAAGAGTACATTAACCTCTCTCAGCCTGTTTCCTAAAATGCGGATGACAAGCCAACCTCTCCAGGGGCTTGTAAAGGATCAGGTGAGACAAGGGCTGGCCTGTGTCACAGGCTCTGATGGCCCCTTATGATGTGTTCTTGGAGCTGGGTATGTTCAGGGTGCCAGATGTGAGATAGATGGGGGGACAGAGAACTGAGCAAGCAAAGGAAGCCATATGAAGGGTCCTCCTGAGGCTGGTCCACCCATGCTCTCCTGCCTCAGTTTCCCCTGGTGCTCCTGAGCATCTTCCCTGGGAAAGCTTCAATGACTGCTCATAAACACTGAGCTATAAATGAGACATCGATCCCCTGGCTCTGCGGCGTAAAATATTAACGATGCCTAAGTGGATACCAGGGATGAGAGCAGAATGTCCGCTCGGCATTAGCAGCCTGGGCCATGGGCCTAATGGATGGGAAGCTGACTCCCCCACTCGCTCACTAGCTTGGGGCTTGCCAGCTCTGGGGCCAACCAGGTCCACTGAGGCTGGGCTGATGGCCCCATCACACTCCCTGCTTCCATAGGACCTGGACAGGGAAGCTGGCAGACAAGCCCCTAGACTCTATACATCCTCCCCACACCCATGAAGTACCAGGCCAGGCCTTTCCCAGCTGCCTGTAGCTCCTCGGGCAGCTTCCAGCTGCCCCCTCCCTAACAGCTCCCAAGTGCCTCCTATGGTGGGGAGCATGCTGGCTGTTGACAGTGATCCCTGCCAGCTCCCTGCCTTGGGGGAGGGACACATACAGAGAAATCTCTGGTGCACAGAGTGCTGAGGACTGCCAAAGAAGTAGGGAAGGACGAGGGGCAAGGTGGGGGGAGCAGCTCGCTCTACCCCAAGTGATAGTAGAAGGCTGGGGAGCTCTGAGCCCTCACCTGGAAGACTTCAGGATGCCTGGGAGGCTCTGGGAGGCCCTGGTGTCCTGGTTTAGGAAATTTTTAGATCTCCAGCTGTTTTGGGCTGGTCTGGGGCACACCTCGAACCTAGCCTTGCATCCCACACCTGAGATCCTGGTCTTCCTATGCCTGGAATATTGATACTACTCCAGGTCTGCCTCCAGGAAGCCTCCCCAGATTATGCCAGCCCTGCATCAACCCCCTTCTCCTCAGAACCGCCATGGCCTCCGCTGCCTGGACCCCGCCGTTCTGCATCATGTTTTGGCTGTCTGCCCAGACATCTTCCATGTCACCCCATGCTTCTCCTCTCTCACCATAGCTGCGCTGTCAGCTCCTGTGGGTTGGGACCCTGTCCATTTGACCAGTATGAATTGGGTGCCCCAGCCCACTACTGACCACCTAGCTGCCTGAGGATTTCAAAAGGTCTTTTGACTTTTAAGGGAGGGACTGGGCCACACATATGCTGTTTGAGGGACCCATGCCCAGCAAAGAGCTGGGCAAGTTGTTCCTGTCTCAGTTCTCCTGGAGGGCAGGCCACCCTTGATTCTAGTGCATTCTACTGGGCAGAACAGTCATTATTCAATTTATTTCTCCTCATATCTCATAGGAACCAGACAAGAATGTCCACAAGTGGAATTCCACACCCCAAAGAAATGCCTCTAGGACTCCTCCTCATGGATGTCCCAAGGCTCCTCAAATGTGGTGCATTCAAAGCTAAACTGTCAACCTTCCCCCAAACCTGCCTTATCTGGTCAGGCCAAAACCCTGGCTTAGCCTGGAATTTTCCTGTCCCACTCCTGCCCAGTTTACCAACAAACTCTGGCACTGTGTCTCTTTCTCATCCTTCTCAGCTCCACTGCCACCAGCCTGGCCATGCCATTGTCTTTTTCTCCTGGACTCCTGACATCAACTGCCAGCAACTCTCCCCATCTCCATTCCGTCGTCCTCCTGTCTCTCCCCCTGACCACCCATCAGGGTGGTCACCTCAAGATGGACATCAGATCCTGTTTTTCCCTTGCTTAAAACCTCTAGTGTCTGGCTGACTCAACACTGGTTGTGTTTGTCTGCTTGACATGCCTCTCCCTGATTTGGTGAGAGCCCTCCAATTTCCTTTGTGGAGCCCCCTGCCCCTGCCGGCCTCGGTCCAGTGATTTTGGAGGTTTGGGGATATAACTAGTCAACCAACACCAATTCCTCTTTGCCCACTGCATACCACCCCTCCACTGCCATAGTGATTGGTTCAGGGGTGGGTACCAGCTGGGAGCCAGGACAGTGAGAGACCTCCATGACTGGCTCTGGGACAAGCAGGAGAGAGGCACTCTCGTTCACTGTGGCAGCTAAATGACCACCCTGCCACCATGTGGGGACAGGAAGCTGGAGAATGAAGTTATTTCTTGAGAAAACAAAACAAAAGATAAATAGCTCAAGTCCAGTTGACAATGTTCTATGCCTTGACCCAGCTGTGCCTCATGGCACAGCTAAACCTATGTCTTTCAGTTATATAAGCCAAGAAATCCCCCTACTGTTGCTTAAGCCAATGTGAGTTGGGTTGCTGTTCCTTGCAGCCGAAAGGATCTTAATCAATGCAACCCCCATTACTCATAGAACAAAGACCAAAATCCTTTATATGGCCCATAAGAACAGCTAACATTTACTAATAACTCACTAGGTACCAGGCACTTCAACAGCACTCAGCTTCATTTCTCACAGCTCCCTGTAAGGTAGGAACTTGATAAGAGGAAGAAGTTGAAGCATAGAGTGCTTAATTCTTTGCTTAAGGGCACACGGCTGAATACGCAACATCAGAATTTGAACCCAAACATTCCAATTCCACAGCCTGTGATTTTAATTCAAACCTGCCATGCCCCTCTACACCAGTGTGGTCGGGCCCTTCCTCCTCTCCCTTGCTCACATGTCCCAAGCCACACCTGCAGCTTCCTGAATAGGCCCAAGACTCTCCCACCTCCAGATCTCTTCGCATGCTCTTCTCTGAGCCATGAATGTTCTTCCTCCTCCTCCTCTTCCGTTTCACCCAGATAATTAGTGCCTACTTGTCCTTTGGGTCTCAGCTTACGTGTCACTTCTGCAGAGTATCTTCCCTGACCTGCTCCCCCTTATTAGTCTCTGCTATCCTATGCCCCCATCCCCTTCCCGCTTTGCAGTTCTCACAATGTGAGTTAGGCTATTTACTTATGTGTTCATTTATTTGTTTCTATTCTCCCACCAGATTGTAAACTTCCTGAATGTATAAGTTGTACCTGCCTCAACGTATTTATAAAATAATTAATGGGATGTCAAATGATGCTTTTCCTTCAATTATTTCAGCAGGGGCTGTCCTGGTATCACTAGCAAGAGCACCAGACTAGGAGTCCAAGAGAACCAGGGCCAAGTCCCTAGTTCCAACCCTAACCTGTTGG